GGGTCATTATTTGTGAGATATAATTTTTTGTAATTGGCTAATTTCGGTGTCAAAACAAGTCCAATCGAGATGTAATTTTAAAGTTACCAAATCAAGATCAAGATTGGCTACGGAATTGGAAAGTTGTTCAAGTTTGATAAACTAAGATCTACGAAAAAGGTATTAACAACATTTTAGAAAGTTATTTCCCATTTAGAACACCATACGTACATAGTATATATGTTTCTTCAAAATTTCCAAAACAGAATTTTTTCCAAACTGTTAAACCTTCCTTGTAAATTATGTCATGTGGGAACCAGTACTGACTTTGGCTACCGGTTCAAGTACCTTTGATTCGAAGAAAACATTCTATCCTTTGGGAACTCGATTCCAAAGTTGTATACCGGTTCCACTTGCTGATACAATTTAGGAATTTAAGTTTCCTGTTTTATCTAAACTTAATTTCTATTTTTTTATAGAATTCTTTCCAAAAGTCCTATACACGAAATTTACCTTTTCCTATGCATATCTAGGTCTTTGAAGAGTCTATATAAGCCTTGATTTACATCTAGGTTAGTACGGCTTTTACATTACAACTTCTGATTTATTAAAAGCCTATTTGAGATATATTTTGTAGAGAATCAAATATGATTTTTTTGTCTTTATTTGTAGAACGCATATATAATTAAACACAATAGTGATTTTAGGGTGTTGTTCAATTCTTGATCGTTTTCAAAGTTTATTGAATATTGTATTTTCAACGATCAGAGAAGCAGATTTATTTATTCTACATTAAATTCAAATCTTGAAGAAAATGGGTGAAGCTATCACACTTTGAAAGGGTCAAAGTATTCGAGGAATGTTATTTGATCTACCAGTAATCCTTTTATAGAGATCAAGAGTAAGCCTGAAGTTAAGAGCTGTTAGACGGGACATCGCAAAGTTAGAGGATTGTTAGCGATTGGTGTTTGGTAAAACGATAGGGTGTGAGCTTGAGTTAAAGTCCATTGTACTTTATTTCAAATATAGTGGATCGATTTACTTTAGACTGCACAGTTCACGAGGTTTTCCCATAATAATTTGTCTATTCTACCAATTGGGGCATCCTCGCTAAAAATCCTGATGTCATCTCTCAAACTCTATTTGTTTTAATTTATTTTTATTTTGCATGTGATTAATTAATTAACTGCTAAATTAAGTAAAGCTGACTAAAATAGAAAGACACAGATTTTAATATTTTCCTTAAAAATTTAAACTTTCCACATTATTTTCCGTTGCATAACACATTTGGTATCAAAGCCAATCTCTACACATTGAGTTGATCTTAATGGAAAGTTTTTTATTATTTTTCAAAAAATTGTTTCATCATGTCTTATGCGTTGAAAGGTGGTAGATCCAATCAACGTGGTCCTTTATTTGAAGGAAACAATTATAATTTTTGGAAATAAAAAATAAGAGCTTATTAGCAAAATTCGGGAGGTAAAGTCTGGGTTATTGTTGAGACAAGTTATACACCTCCTACTGAGGAAAAGACTGTGGATGGTAAAGTTGTTCGGGTTTTAAAAGATACTTTCTCCTTCATTGCACTTGAATCTGAGCGTAATGATGCTAATGGAAAAGTTTTATATGCAATTATAAATTATGTTATTCCATCTTAATATGCTAGAATTTCTAATTGTAAAACTGCTAAAGATACTTGGGATATTTTGAAGGTTACTTATGAAGGAACTTAAAAAATGAAGCTATCCAAAATCCAAATGATTTCTTATAAGTTTAGGAACATTGTGATGAAAGAAAATGAATCTTTTTCTGATTTTTCTTTTAGTCTTCTTGAAATTATTTCTGAATTTCGTCACTTAGGCAAAATAGTTAATGATAAGAAAATTTGTGAGAAAATCTTAAGGTCTTTACCTAAAAGATTTCAGATAAGGGTAGAAACTATCACTGAACACTGGGATTTGTCTAGTGCTAAAGTAAATGAAGTTGTAGGTTCATTGAAAATTTTTGAGATGTAGAATTTTGATCAAAATCAAAAAGAAAATAATCTTGCTTTAAAGTTAACACATGTTGATAATTCTGTTGATGAAAATTCTGATGAAGATGTGGCTTTTATAACTAGGCAATTTAATCAGTTTTTGCAAAAACAACAAATAAGAAAGAATGACAATAGGGCCAATCCTAGAATCTTTGGTAAGGGGTCAAAATTAAAAATAAAAAAATGAAAAGAAAGTAGAAGAGTCAAAAGAAACTAAATTCACTTGCTGGAATTCTGGTGGCAAAGGTCACTTGTGATACCCTTTGATTCTAGAGCTACGGCTGATAAAGTCCGAGCACAGATCCGAGAGATGCCAAACAATTAAGTATATAAACAAGCATGAGCACAAAAGAATTAAGGAATAAATAATAAAACTGAAAAGATTCTAAATATAAATCCTTAAAAGTTATATAATCTAAAATTGCCAAAACCTCCAATTATTATTACAACATGGGAATCCATCTAATGGACCCCTAATAATAATCCAGTTGGAAAATAAAATAGCTGAACTGGAAGGAAAACCAAAACTAAGCATAAAGAAAAGTCCTACGTCGTTGGAAGAATGAGTGACTATCACTGCTCAGCACGATCAAGCTCTAAGACTAGAACTATCGAATACTTGAAAAATAATAGTGGGTCAGGCTCACGAACAAGTTCTACTCTATTATAATCCAAATAGAGACCCGATACGCATGTACATCCTAAACACCTCCACATTAACTATTAAGTCCATATATATATATATATCCACACTAAGGGACTCTCACTGGACTACAAGGCGGTCTCAACCTGACTAGTAGGCAACATGCAAAAGGTACCTGAAGTGGGCATGAGTACCTAGACCTAACAGGGTACACCTCTATCCATCATAGCCAGCTATACATCCCACTGCATATACGCTCCCTAACTGTCGATCCTGATACTCAAGCTCATATCGAAGTATCATAATTATATATTTAAAATCCATCCAAAACTAAGGTAATGTCATTCAACTATTTGTTGACCTGACATGAATATAAGTAGGACTTAACTTTTATAATTAATCTATTCCCTTATTCCATAGTAGGTAGGACTTAGTGTTTTTAGCTAATCCATCCCAAGTATGCCACTGTCCCATACAGATGCATACAATCCACAAATCCAATAAATTGATTAATTAAATAAGAATAAAATTAAACATCAATTAATCCACAATAAATAGAATTAAAATATGTTAAATAACATGATCATATTATGCCGCTAATACATAATTAAAACTGTATAATCATTCACAAAAAATTGCTAACATATAGAGAAGCAATTTAAATACTCCATGTCAATCAAAAATATGCAAACTTATTTTATATTTCATATTGTTCTAGTTCCTAGCATTTTAGAGTTTTATTAAGCACTCTGGGATTCTAACTTGTCCTAAGAATCATTTAAATACTCCATGGAAGCTCCCAAACTAAATTTGGAACCTCATTATCCAATTACAGTAGCCAAAACTTGTCCAAAAACATAAAAATAAATAAATAAATACATTCCGTAAAGGAGCCGGTTGCCTATAAGAGGGAGCCGCCTCTTTTCTACAAGGAGCCTGCTCCCCCCTTAAGGGAGCCGCCTCCCAATGATGTAGAGCTAGCTCCCCACCATGGGGAGCTGCTTCTTTGCAATAGGGAGCGGCCTCCCTTCAAAAGGGAGCTAGTTCTCCTCCTGTTTCATCATCTGCTTCACCTCAGGCAACATCCAGTTACTCCGTTCCTCCATTCGAAGGTCCCTACTAGTCAATACTAAGTCCCAGTGTGTTCCAGAAATTTTTAAATTCATTATACATTAATCAACACCAACTAAAACAAGTATTTATGCAAGAAAGCTTAAAATCAAGCAATTACCAATTCGTTAATATATACACTGTATTAATCGAATCTAACATGCATACCAGATTAATTTAACGTTTATTTACTCCTGGAATTGTTTTAGGTATGCAAAGAACATGAGTCAAAGGGAGAGAGTTAGGAATAGAGCTTGCCTTAGGTTTTAGTTGGAAACCTTGAACCACCGTCTCTGATTTTTCCGACATCTCCTTAACTGCTGTTAACCACCTCTGTTACTTTTGGTTCAACCCACAAGAAATCCCCTTCCTTCCTCCCTGGTCTGACCTTTAACCTATGGCCGAAACCCTAACTGGTTCTCTCTGTTCTCTCAAACCTCCCTGTTCGTGAATACAATTTGTGTTTTAAACCCTAGGCAGACTTAATATGATATATTTATAAGCGTATACAACCAATCCCAATCCTAATTGCAACCTAAGTCGAAATTAAAAAAAAAATAATAATACCTTATATTTAAATAAACAACAGATCACCGTGAAACACAAAAATATATAAATAATATACAGTATTTATATATATACTGATTGTGATAAAAATTACTAACTATTTAGTTGAATAAATAATAGTAATCCCCTAATATACACATACCCTCAATATATGTACATTAATCCATGAGTAATTTTCTCTAACCATTTACATTATCCAAGTAGTCCGTTGCTCATATCCAAGCCCAAATCCTTTAAAAATAAAAATAAACATTTAATTTAAACATTCTTTAAAAATAAAAATCAACAGTTAATTTAAAAAAAATAAATCAATTTAAACCTATAATTTCAATTAAACAAATAAAGCAGTTTAAATAATTAATTTAATTCCATATAAGCATATAATTTCAATTAAAATGCATAAATCAATTAAACAATTAACCAATTAAAGAAATAGCCAAATAAAAAATTAATGAATATAAAATTGCACAAAAATTTAAAAGAAATATCGAGACTATCCTTTTAAAATTAGGGGTATTATATCACTCGTCAAATATTTGTCCTAGTCCTAAGAAAGAACAAAATGATAGGAATAAAGGGAAAGCAATGAAAGTTTTATTTCTAAAAATTATACTTTTAGTGAAAATGAATCTTCTGATGATTTTAGTAATGATTTTTCTTATGTAGCTTTTCTTGATAAAGGTCCTCATATTGTTTCTTTGTCTGATTCTGACATTTCAGATGATGAAGCCAATGAAGTTCACGTAAGTCGTACGCAGCGGAATATTTAGAAAGTTTTGATTATTTTAAAACAGATCTATATCTTTTCCAACTTTACTTATTTTAACAATTAAACAATTAATCACATGTAGATAAAATAAAACAAAGTATAAAGTGAGAGATGACACTAGGATTTTTAGCGAGGAAACCCCTGTTGATAAAATACGTCAACTGTTTGTATGGGAAAAACCTCGTGGACTGTGCAGTCCAAAGTAAACCGATCCACTATGCTTGAAATAAAGTACACTGAACTTTGACTCTAACTCACACCCTATCGTTCTACCAAACACCAATTGCTGACAATCCTCTGTCTTACGACTCCCTGTCCAACAGCAACTTGACCTCAGGTTTATGTTTGATATTTGTAGAAGAGTAGTAAGTAGATTAGACAACACTCCACGAATGCTCCAACCCTTTCAGAGTGTGATTGCTTTTACTTCTGTTCTTCAATCATCTGAATTCAATATAGAAGTAGATCTACTTTCGTCTGATCGATGTAGATGCAACTGTATGATCGTGATCAGGATATAAACACCACAACTCTAAACTCTCTATATGTTTATGTGTATATGTTCTAGAAAGATGATAGAAAAATCAATTCTGATTTTCTGTAAAAATAATCTTCCTAAGGCTTCTAAGAATAATGAATTTGTAGAACAAAAGCCGTAAATAAAGTTATGTGCATGACCTGGTTTATATACAGGTTTGCAGAGTCCTATTCCATTTGAAAATAAAGGAAATTTCGTGCATAGTACTTAGAAGGAAAGTTGGATCAAAAATGAATCAAACAGAACAAGGAAACTGAAAACATTTTACTGTCAGGACTCCTAGTACCGGTTCCCAATCTTGGTACCAGTTCCCAAAGGATAGAATGGAGTTCTTTGAATCTTAGCTTCTGGAATCGGTTCCCAAATTCAGCTACCAGTTCCCACTTGACAGAATCCAATTTGAACTTGGATATTCTGTTTTTGAAAACTCTGAAAATATACCATATAGGTATTTGTGTCCTAAGTGGGAAACGATATCCTAATGTGCTGTTCTTTCCTTTTCAATGATCACCAGTATTTTCCTCTTCTGAACAATTTTCAAATTCCGCAGTCGATGTTGAATTTGATATGGTAACTAAAATTACAACTCGATTAGGACTTGTTTTGTTACAGAAATATGCCAATTAAAAAAATTTATAATCTCCCCCTTTGGCAATTTCGTGACAAACCCTAAAAACAATTTATAATCTACCCAAAGTAGAAAAGTAAATTACAACTGTTTAAGGAAACACGAAATTTTTTATCTCTATTCTCTTCTGCTCTTGGACAAAATTTCATCTGAATTCCTGCACATGGATCAAGCAAAACTATTAGTGAAAGTTTAATAAAAACATGTTAAAAACTCCCCCTAAATAAATTATCCAAAAATTTTAGATTTTTCTCCCCCTTAATGTAAACTTGTTCTCCCCCTTTTTGGAACAAAATTGACAAAGCAATGTAAACAGGACTAAATAGAAAATGCAGTAATTAGTTTATTACATGTCAACAGTCAAAAAATAATATCCAAAAATATCAAGTCATGACAATGTAAAAACTGAACAAAAAGTGATGCATGTATGACATGAATATAGAATCAAGCATCAACATCATCTCCAGCAAACGGAATAGTAGTTGTGACAGCACAAGTTTTGTAAACCCGGTGCGTCAGTGATGACCAAAAGATGACCCGATAACAGATCCGAGATGCGGAAGCAAAAGGTGAAACAACGGTCTCTAGAGATACAATGTGTCTCTAAGACACCAATGTGACCCTCAATAAGGTCATGGAACCTAAAGGAAAACAAATGCGGAAGTGTCGTTTCAAAAACGGACAAAAAGGAACCTAGGGGCAAAATGGTCATTTTGTAAAAAAGTGGATTCAAGTGCTATCGAGCACACCACTGGGAAGACAAATAAAAACTAATCATGATGGACTCAAGAATTTCATTATTCGGATTCCGGACGAAGGAGAAAGGTCAAAAACAAAAATGATGTTGTGGCGGCCCGACGAGGACGGTCCACTACTGTTGCAACTGAGAGTAAAAATGGGCATCTAAACGGACTTTTCTGGAAAAACTCAAAGAAGAAACCCCCCCTAAAATCAAGTTTCCTACCCCAACTAGCAAACAGAAACAAAAAAAAAAATGCATTGTAAAATGCCTAGAATGCCCCTAAGAAAATCTGGTCAAGGGGGTAAAATTTTCTTTGAGCTACTGCCCAAAGAAAGGAAATAGGGCTTTGGGAGGTTTCTAAATTTCCTAAATTGAAAATGCAATCTTAAAATACACCCACAAGATCCCCAGAAGTTTTGGATCGGTCGAGACGATTTTAAAAAAAAAAGTCGATGAATAGTACCAAGTACATTTGTACTAAAAATCTGCAAAACTTGGCAGCAAGGATTTTTCGGACAAATATGGATTTTTGAGGGCCAAGATGATGTTTTCTGGAAAAACACAAAGAAGAAACCCGCCCCCCCCCCCCCCCCCCCCCCCCAAAAAAAATAAAGTTTTCTACTTTGTAACGCGGGCAAAAATGAAAAAAATGCATTGTGAAATGCCCAAAATGCCCCTGGAACAGAATTGGGTAAAACCTCAATGAAATGAAACCTTAAGTTTTTGTTTCATCAAGAAGGGTATTGTTTGCCAAAGTGAGCATGCAAGTATATGTAATGTGATAAAATAGATGTGCTACCATGGCCTATGGCCTCATTACAATACATTCACAAGTTTTGACATACTAAGCCTCAATTTCTCACAAATAACCTACAATGGCAACACTTTAGTTTTAGAGGAAACATACTTGTAACCTTCCAAGTTAATGGCCCTTGGCCTCATGTCATACATGTAAAATGAACACTTCCAAATGTACTTATATACTTATTACAAAAAGGAAGCCATCTTAGCTTCTAAAATACCATACATCCATGGCATACAAAATATAACATCTAAAAGATAAAATATGCTAAACAAGTACATGTCCATATACAAAAATGCTTCAAGTACTCATGAGCCCCTATAAATGATAAGCATCCACAAATATTGTCTCCTTACCTGTAAAATAACCCACACAACTAGGGTGAGTAATCAAGTTACTCATAGGATGTGGTGCATGCGCATACCCTATAGTTTCAAGTATAATGTGAACCAAACATAGATCATCACAAGGGTGCATTCCACCTAATGTCTATGTTTTCAAGGTACTCTAAGGGATCATCTCAAGCTATACAAATATTTGAAATGACAACCACATAGCATCCAAGTATACATGAACAAGTACACTAACCGCATTGAAACTAAAATCACTAAATCACAAGTTACAAGAAATCCATAATTTACAACTTGGAATATAATGCGAAATGGAAAGACTAGGATATGTGGCCATGAGACCATATAAGTTATTTTGGGTAATTACGACCCACAAGGTACTACCTAGTGCGCACTATGACTTAGGAGAATTCCTATCCTCCGTACTAGAGCCAAACCCTAGCCATCAACATCTCATATCCTTACAAGCTTCCAAAAATCAACAAGTTCATGACATTTATGCAATCTCAATACATGAAACTACCTACCAATCACAAGTAGGGTAAAACCACACAACCCATGTCTTAAGGTTACATGTCTAAAGTGGCAAGTTAATGATATTACACATCATGTTATATCAATTTACTATCAATATAGGCCATAATTGCAAATCATTAAATATAGTAATCTACCTATAAGTAATTATAAGTGCCACACACAAGATTTTCATACTAAGCTTTCAATGAAATCTATATTACTTAACATCATAAATGAAATCTCAAGATATCCATAATAAAACCTCAATGGAATCATAAGTATTAGGCAATTTATTAGACAATAGCCTACCTATACAATTTAATAGTCACATACATGCTTTAATCCATAAATCCTAAGTCAAGCATATAAAATCTTTATTTACATGCTAGTACAAGAATTTAAAAAGGCATGTAATCAATATATATTAAGCTCCAATATATATAAAACCCAAAGAGGATAAACATACAACCACTCCTACCTCAATAGAGAATTGAATCTCTATAATTCAAGCAATCAAGCTCAAAATGGAAAACAAGTTTAGGGTTAATGAAGAGGGGAGTGAGAGGAAGCTTTTGTCTTCCAAGGTTTTATGTCTAAGGTGAGTGGAAGGAGGCCAAAATGAAGAAGAAAGCTATTAACCAAGCTTTTCTCCAATTGTGGCTAGGTTATGGTTCTTGGAGACAAGTGAAAATGAAAATGATAAAGTGTAAAATGGTGAGTGGAAGGGCTAGAAATCCTCCATTCACTATGTGCTCTTACACTACCTCTCTCACACACACAATGGAAGACTAAATGGTGAACCTTCACTTGTCATGAATCTATGGTTCATTCCTAGGCTTAATCTCAAGCCTACACTTATCACCATCCTATGTAAGCTTTCAAGACTTAATATTGAACCTACATTTGTCAACCATCCATGCCAATAAGTGTACCAATCCTAGGCCAACAAGTGGGTGAATCTCCAACCTCCATATGTCATCATCCAAGGCATCAAAGTGTTTCCACACAAATGTCAACAAGTAGACCAATGAGAGTGTGACAGTTGTCACACTTTCCAGAAATTGCAAACAAGTCCTTTTTGAAAACATCTTCCAAATTAAATTAAAAAATGGTCCTTAAGATGAAAAATAATTACTTTGCATAATTACACTAAAACCCCTCAAGTTTAGGTTAATTACACATTCATGCCCTTTACAAGAAAAGTACTAATCTAACATGCTTTTCAAGAAAAGTAAAAATACCAATGTCATGGAAATCAAATACCATGAATGCATGCAAAACTGGAATCAAATCCGAGCACAACAAGTAAGGTTATACACGGAAAAATGAAAAATGGGAAAAAGACGAAATAGGGAAAAGACAAAATAGGAAAAAGATGAAAAAAGAAATCGCCAAAAATGGAAAAGGAGGAAAAAGGCCGGGTTA